GGAAAATGAGGTTAGACCAATTTATGCTCAGTAAATTTGCGCCTCCCAATAATGAGTCTGTGCGAAAGAGCATATACACGCAGAGTATGTCTTAAGAAGCTCAGTTGTGTCCTCAAGGACTAAGAGACTTGCGCTCACCCAGCGTTGAAGGAAGCAAAGGACTACACCTAGTCATTGAATCTGAATCTAGATTACTAAATCCTTTAGGCATTGTATCACTGCTTTGTACTCGGTCACTCAGTCATCCAAAATCCACGAGTAACATGAAGCTACAGCGATTCTACCATCAAATAAATAACCAAGGATCACCTGCACACTTCGACATAGACAGTAATGACTGACACCAAACGAGAAATGAATACCACAAATCACAAGCCCCTACACTTCCTCATTAGTTTACTACGAACCACTACAGTTATTGCATTCCTGCATCCGGAATAACTAAATCGAGATTTTCATTCGCTCGAACACCCACTTCTGCTTGCATAATGTTTATTCCTTCTCATCCGATCCACAATATTTTAGCTTATTTGGAAGAAAGACTACCACAGAATAGCATAAATCCAGTAACAAATTTAATCTTGATAATGAAACTAGTGGGGAGTGGAATTTCATGAGTACGCCTTGGAGATTCAACGAATACATCATAAAGAAGATACATGGACCTAGGAAAACTGGCTAACAACAGAAAGAGAGATCACCAACGAGTGTTTTATGAGTAACAAAGGGAAGTCAAGAAAAGGCAACTGCAGTGAGAGGAGTCAGACATGGAATCGTCCAAAAAATTTACCAAGGGCTCTCACCTGCGAGATGTAAGATATGAAATTAAAGGCTAAAGGTATAGGTGGGCTAGATAGAGGTCACCAGTGTGTGTGTAATTTTCTATTTACGTCGGAAGGAAATATGACCACGAGGGATATGAAACAACATACACACACAGAAACGGCATCCAAGTACACTAGGATTAAATGGGAATGTCAACTTGTAAACGAAAGGAGTGTGCTTTTCGCGATTCAAAGGGAAAAAGGGAAGAGGTACATTCTCACACCAGCGGTTATTACGTAAGCCGGACACAGGGCCCCAAAGAATGAGACACAATGTGGGTGGGGACAAAGTAGAAAATAATTGAGCCACACGTTTGAAGCCTAGGCAAAGGAAGATTCCCAGGCACTGACATTTGCATCATCTGCTCTAACTCCTCGAATATGACGTAATCGAGGACGATAATGGAAAGTTCTCAATCAGCCAGATTACAGGGAGTCAAACAATGATTTTGATGTTTAGCAGCGGCCAATTGGCAAGCGGGTATGAAAAAAAGTGGGGACAGAATATAGACCAAGAGCCCTGCATACAGCATCTGGTACCGGTAGTAGAGATGATCACGCTTCGCTAAGCCAACTTGTAGCGACATTGGAGGAGACGAGAGCAGAGAATTGTGTGGGCCATATGAATTGGGGTTGAAAGAAAGAGGCGCGGCACCAGAAGGAAGAACAAAAAATAGTGGCAAGGGGTGATGCCACAACGGTTGAACAGAAAATTGGTCAAAGAGATTGCTTTCACTTGTCACTTTGATAAGTTGTAACTCTGTGCTCACGATGGCGCCTCTGACGATGCCGGCGAACCGTCTAGGAATATACCCAGCCAACGGTCCAATACTGGAACTTACGAATGCTATGGAAGAGGACACGCGACTAAGTACGTTCCACAAGGTATCCCTGACGCCCCGACCAAGTTGCGAAAACAAGGTCGAACCAACACTATACTTTCTCGCTTTGCCAATGTCTATAACGTTACAGATGAAAGCTCAATACAGTCTGATCAATCACAAGACAGCGAGCCAGACTTCTTAACGCAATCCGAGTCTTAAATGCAAAGTAGTTCTTCGGTTACCGGTGAGGCCAATTTGGGAATCCCTTCCGGCCAGATATTATGGTAAACGGCAAGTCGATGAGTACTAAATCACTAAGGGGTGCTTCGAAATCAAGCTTTTCTTCGTATTCTTCAACGAAATCCCGAAACTGTTCGAATTTGCTCAATATAGTGTCAAATTCCCTTTGATAGACCTAGAAACAAATAAGATAGCGTTCATGCTGTATCTATTCACAGGAGGTGATTATTCTTTGCTGTCTTTAATTCTTAATCAATAAATACAGAAGAAATTTAAAAATCGTTTATGATAGTCTAGCAAAGTTGAAGGCCGGCTTAATCTGCATAAATGCTCTGTTAAGATCATTCTATATTTAAGACAAGCTCATATGAAGGAAGGAAGTACCATAAACAAATTGAATCTCACATTAAATATTTTCGCATAAGAAAATATAAAAGTCGAGATAAGTAGATTTGCTAGCTGAATGGGTGTATATCACTTAAGTGAAGAACCCAAATCAGAGCCCGGAGGTTCAATAGTTGAAATTTCTATTAAAATATGCCCATAACAAAAAATCCTTGATACAGTTCAAAATACAATGCATTAGAAATAATTTCATCGTTGATAGCTAGAAAGAAAATAGCTTGCTCAGCAGTTAAAGGGAAGATATAAATAAAAAACATATAGTTTAGAATTTGGAAGAGAATCAGCTCAAATATAAGGAAAGCACACAGATACAAGGAATTGAACATAAGAAAATAAAAGGTCAATTTTTAAAAAAACGCCGATTTAAAAAAAATTCAAGAGTGAATTTGCAAAGCAACATTACTCGAGATAAACGAGCATGACATTGCTTAGGCCTAGCTGTGGAATCTAGACTTCACAAGATGAGACCGACAGGCATGCAAGAGAGTTGGCATATTTGGTTATTATGGCAGGAAGAAAGATCAATTCCATTTCAGACGAGATCGGAGATCGAAAATAGATGAGCTGCCTTACGAAAAGGGTTTACAGGTCGATCAGCAGAAAGCATTTTGTCAGAGGAGGCTGTTGGGTTGAAGAAAGTCATCAAACTCGAGGTCCCTTTCGCAGCTGACTGGAGTCGAGATATCTTCCGAGACTCAGCCTTTCCTTCCGTTTCTAAGTCCTCATCATCAGACCTAAAAATATACAATTTAAGTGAAATCAAACAAATAGATCTAAGAAGCCGATATGAAGACAAAGGTGGTGTGACCTTGGGTTTTGCTGCAATCTCTTTTAGTTATGTAAATAGCGTAACCTTTTAGAACGCACCAAGTCCAGTGACTTATGCCATAGTAGTTTCGGACCGTGGACTTAGGATATTCTAAGAGGTTTCTCTGGCCTTGTCAGCAAGTCCTACTATTATTGACACAAAGCTACAACTCGTCAAAGAGACAAGTGAGGAGTTGTAGCTTAATGCTAAAAATGGTAAGACTAACTGATGATTCCTGTGAAACGTTTCGGAATGCTATAAATCCACGGTCAGATAGTAGAAGTTATGAGTAGTATGGCAGAGAACTTCTTACAAGATGCGCTCATGAGCAGGTTGCGAAAAAAATGTCCAAATCACTTCTGCGTGGCGAAAGAAGACTGTGGCCAAAACAGAGGCCAGACTGTCTTGATCTTCATATTTGCAAAAACTCCAACATTTTGTGTTGGTTCGACCTTGTGGAATGTACAAAGTCCGGTGTCCTCTGCCATAGTATTCGTGATTTCCAGCATTTGACCATCGGCTGGAAAAATTCCCAAACGTTTCGCCGGTAACGTCAGTGAGAAGCGCCATCGCAAGCATAAAGTTACAACGTATCAAAGTGACAAGCGAAGGCAATACACTTAACCAATTTTATGTTCAACCGTTGTGGCATCACTGGTTGTTGTGGGAAAGCTGGTGAAGAGGGTTGCCCTTTCCTTCAGGATGTTGCATTTCTCTAGTACTGGCAGTAGCTTCCGAGCCAATTCGGAGGCGGGTAGACGTATCCATCGTTTTTTATCTGCTCTTGCTTTCCTTTCATAATTTCCGTCCTTCCATCTATTCATCACCATCAGTATGTTGCGTTGTATTGTTTCTTCTGGATATCCTTTTCCAAGAAATATATGAGTTAGCTTTACTAGTTCCATTTACTAGAACTCAGAATCGGTAAGTCGTAAGCTTCTTATGCTCATACTCCGGAGTATTCCAATCTTCATCCCATAAGTATGGTTCGACTAGAGTTATTTCAGCATGCGATTTCTCTCGGAAAAGTTTTTTCTTGGGAGTTTCCTCAGAGCGAATGACCTCCACGTCCAAGAACGGTAAGTGTCCGTTCTCTTCCACATCCATGATAAATTTGACTTTTTTCACCCATCTTTATTATGAAGATCAGGAAATCGTCTAATTTTTCTCTTCCATGCGACCAAATTGCAAAGTAGTCATGAAAATATCGCTTCACCAAATCCACTTTTACCGACACACTATTAGGCAATATTAGAGGAAGCGAGGGCACATAATTGTGTGAATAAGTGGATGGGCCATATGAAGTGGGGTTGCGAGATGGAGATGCGTCACTATAGGGTATAGCAAAAGCTAGGGGCGAGGAGTGATGCCACAATGGTTGAACAGAAAATATGTCAAGGGGATCGCCTTCACTCGTCACTTTGATAAGTTGTAACTCTGTGCTTGCGATAACGCCTCTCACTTACGATGCTGACGAAGCCTTTGGTAATGTACCCAGCTAATGGTCCAATGCAGGAAATCACGAATACTATGACAGAAGACGCGGGAATAGATGCATTCTACAAGGTCTCCATGACGCTTCGGCCAA